TTAAATATTTTAAATTAAAAATTAAGTCGACACACCTTTAAGTTAGAATCCAGGCTAAAAGCTACGCTCACGCTTGTCAACTAATTGTTGACCCACACTAAGGGTCCTATGGCCCCAGGGGCACATGTCATGGGAGTAATCTGAGCGACAAACGTGTCACGTTGGCTTTCTTGGAGCTCAATTCCCTCCGAGCGATGGTAGAGTGGCCTTACTAGTATCATTCATTGAAAAATTGAAATTCAACCTCTTGTGGCTCTGATTGATAAACAGAAAAAACAAAAGGAAAATATGACTAAGTTTTCATTAATTAGTGTATATGTAGTGTTGATAATTATTCGACAACAAATGGTTAAATTTACACCTCATGGTTAAATTTACGCCTCATGAATATTAAAAAAGGTTAAATTTTTATTTTGGTTCTCTTACTTTGATAAAAAGTTTTTTTTAGTTTTTTTACTTTAAAAAATCTCTTTTTAATCCTTAAAGTTTAAAATTCAATCCATTTTTAACCTTTCCATTAAGTTTTATATACATACATATTAAAAGACGCAAATTTCAAAATAGAGAGCCAAATTGGGGCTATTTTTAGCCCTTATTTGATCCATTTACTTTAGAAAAAAAAATTTATTTATTTATTTTTTTAAATTTTCGTCATTTAACGTTCAAACTTAATGGGAGGACTAAAAATGATTTGGATTTCAAACTTTAAATACCAAAAAGAATTTTTTTAAGTTGAGAGACTAAAAAAGATTTTTTACCAAAATAGAGAGACCAAATTAAAATTTTGACCTTAAAAAATTAACCAAAATGTGACCTCATCCCAAACAAATAGTGAAATCTTTTCAGCTCATAGGTGGCATTTTTAAATACACAATCTCAATTGAACGTAATTATCAAATTTGTCCTCGATCATTTTATTTTTGAAACAATTAAAATCCTTAAAGGAAAAAGGATAAAATAGAATCATGACTGGTCAAACTCAATTGAGCCAATGAGGTTGATGGGTGTTAAGGGTACGTTCGGTGTAACTGAAATTTTTAATAAAAGTTATATTAGAGAGAATCTGTTGTAAAAGTGTTGTTTTTGAGAAGTTAAAAATGTT